AAAAATTTTATTTTTAAATAATAAAATATATAATAGCAGGATTAAAAGTTGATCAAACCTCTCTGGTGTTTCCTTGTAAAGTACCAAATAGTGCACCATTACCATCCATCACAATGAAACCAAATTTATTGTCATCTGCCAATAGTGCTGTAAGCGCTTCTGTATGAAACTATAATATAAATTTATTATTAATAGGTACTCAATAGGTAGAAATAAAATTGATGTGTTCTTGATTTGGGCATAGAATTAAATAATTTTTACCTTATTATCACAAAGGTACAAAGAAGTATTAATAGGCTTGAATGGCTCAAAATCAATATTGACTTTCTTTTCTTTGCCTTCCTCAGTTACAATGGTTCCACAATACACCACTAATCCATTAGGTGGCACTAACAAATAAAACATAGATCATAATTAATAAATCAGGCATAATAATTAAATTTAAAAAAATTACCTTTAGTATAAAGCTTTAATCTTTGCTGTACTGATGTAATAGCACCCAATACTGACAATCTGTTTACACGTGACTTGATGTTTGATGCAGTACCATATTCATCAGCCAACATCTTACTCACTCTGGAAATCTGATCCTTAGGGGGTATGATTAACGAAATCATACTTGTTCCATTACTAAAAATAAAATTATTAAATCCTTGTAAGTACGGAAATTAAAACATTTATGTTTAAATATGCCTTGTCTCAAAAACTACTATGAATTTATTTTTAGCATAAATAGAAATTTATAAAAAGCTGTACTCCATCTGCTGAGAGAATGTGGTAGAGCGCAAACCAAAACATGATATAGGTACTGTCCTAATTCCCATTTTCCAGCTCGTCATACGCACTTATTGGTTTTTACAACTTAGTTTAAGACCGATTGATAATAATATAATTGTTTAAGAAATAGGTATCTTCTTATTGTTTTTTCGATATGAGAAGAAATCTCATTGTCTTTGTCTTACAGTTCCTATGAAAGACCTTCATAAGCAGTAAGTACTTACTGTTAAGAAAGCATACCACATCCAACAGCTACAACAGGACATGAGGTTTCTTCAGTTATAATATAATTAAAAGGAACATACTTATCTAGTATCTATAAATTATTATGCATGACTTCTAAATTACAATACACACAATAGGTAGGTACGCTAAAAAAATATTGTTTCAAAATATAATGTTTATTATAATAGATAGGTATATTATCCAACTAACCAAAACTATGATTATTTAACATAGGTAGGTATCACAGAAAAAAACTCTTATGAAATCTTTTTTGTAAAATAGCCAAGACTCAAGAGAGCTTTTAGCTATCCAGAATCTAGATGTTATTATTACGTGTATGTAAAGATTATAATAATAAAATACGCTGAATAATATGGACAGTTTACATTACGGACATTGGCCAACAGCAAAGACTGACATATAGTCACATTTCATGGATTTAACTGGTGAATTTGAAAACCGTTAAGGGTATTTTAAATAGAAATGGGTTGCAATTAAATACAGCTTTTTTTGTAAAGTATTAGTGTGTACTGTGGGACATGATTCAATCAGTTTGGTTCGCAGACCTAACATATTAATATAATATTATACCCATGGGCAACCCTCCCTCCTCCCTCCCCACCACACCACAAACAACCAGACGACGATCAATCTATGAAGCATCGAAATGGCCATACCCAAGTTCTGGGGGCACGTATGCAACGGCGGCGACGACGAAGCATTGCCCTATTATATGTAAGTAGGTACGCATATTGATTTAATACTATTGTATAATAACGTCACTCACCCTCTGGCCATCTCTAGACTCTTGATGAGCTTCTTGATCTTCCATATCTCTACGTTGCGATCCGAAGTGGTCTCCTCGCCGTTGGTGGTCATTTCGGGTGAGTGCGAAGAGTACAACGAGAGAACGACACGGGAAACTGAGAAAACGCACACACGGCGGACGGACTGACGCGCGACTTTACGTCAACAACAGTCTTCTGCAGGTTTTTACCGCTGTCCCCGACCAGAGCAGCGACAACTGACAGACAATGTGACAATGGTGTGCGATAAAATATATATTGTTGTACACCGTCGTATTAAATATTTTATTTTTTTAAATTTGTTCAATTAAAATGTGTGACTCGGCGAAGTAGGTTAGGCAGGCGCGAGAAACACACTCGGTCGCGCACACACACTGACAAAACGTCACACGCACACGCACGCACGGCAGAGCGGTAGCAGGCAGGCAGGCAGGCAGCAGTCGTGGACACGCGCACACACACACGCGACGCAAACGCACGCCACTGGTCGCAAACGATGGGCGGACGTTCGCGGTGCGGTGGTGTGGTCCGCTATTCCGTGATAACTGATAAGGTGAGGTGATAACGCGGTCGCAAGGCCGCGGCGTGTGTCAGTGTCCGCCGCGTCAGCTGCTGCTGTCCGCTGATGCAGGCTTCAGCAATGCTAAGACGTGAATACGTCGACTGCTGGAACTAATTCGTAAAAAATAACTCAATCGTATAATGATCTCGATTAATATTTAATCATGCACGTGGCGATCTCATTCGTCCTTATGAGTTATGATTGAGTATTAAATCAATAGCTCCTATTCATCGTTATTCATTATATTGTACTGTGGTAAAGATTTTAACACTACGAGATGACGAGCATTGGGAAATGGCTGAAACCTAGATCGTAATATTATACAAGTGATGATTTAAGGGCTGATAACCGGTCGTCGCCGATGCTTACTGCAGGAGTCGCAGCGGTGGAATCGGAGAGTAGGGAAATTAGTTTATTAAAATTTGGGATAGCTATGGTGGTATTATAATTGCGACGAGTTGGGGCCCGAGTAAAATATGTGTAAATGGGAATGATGGGACGATATTTCATCAGCGGCCGAACGCTTTTCGTGTTGTGGCTGTGGTGAAAGAAAAAAATAGAATTATTTTAACGTTTGGAATACGTCTTTGTCCCCTGATTATTATTATTTTTTTTTATAGTGGGTGGAGAAGTGATGCACTGAATCTGATATCTAAATTCTGAACAGTGCATGTCGCGACGACGACGCAGTATTCCGTTCGCGGAGACATTGTCTAGAGTCAGCTCCTACAGTCCTGCTATTCGTAGTTTTTGGAAATTTTGATGAACCACGTGAGTGGGAGGTGAGATCAATGTGAAGGGACGGCGAAAGGGATAATAATTCACCGAAGTCAAATAGACCACAGCGACATCTGTGCTTGCTGGTGCGTAGTGCCGGTGGAACGAAACCGCTGATTATGATTTTGGAGTTTATAACCCTGTTGAATTTGACCCACGATTTAGAGAAATATCTTTTGTTGAGCTGTAATATTTTCAAACTAGAAGCAGAGAAGCTATTTATATGCATTCAAAAAAAAAAAATGTTAGTTAATTATACCTACAACCTACTTAATAACATTAGTACCTAATATCGTAATTTGTAATGTATTTAGTACCTCATATTTCATATTATCTAAATGCTAGATGCCTAGGTTATAATATATTTATATATTTATATATTTTAAATGTTTTCTATGTGGACAAGTCTGTACTCTGCATAAGCGGAGATCGGGGGGGGAGGGCTTACGGGGGCTTAGTCCCCCCCAAAATAAATGATTTGAAGTTCAAGTCCCCCTAAGAATATTAAACAAACAATACCGTAATTTTGTACAGTTTGCAGAATTTTTTTCATTATTTAATATTCCTATATCCACAGTTATATAAGTGTACCTAGTACATTACATACACAATATTAAGTATTTACCAATTTATTATTTACGGTAACATAAAGAACAATTAAGTCACAATTCACAATAATATTAAATTGTGTTTATATAACTAATATTGTACATATTTTGTACCAATTGGCCATCTATATTGAATAACATATTATTATACCGTTCTATTTTAGATGGGAAAAATACTATTTCTTTTCCTAATTTTTGTTAATTCTCGAGAAGCGTAGCTATTATAGGACTATCGCTTTAGCTATATTAAACCTATCGTAAAGTTTATTGTGATTGAATGAATCGTTAACCGTATTGACCATTTTATACTAAATTATATTTTACTTATTTTTTTTTTTTTTTTATTTAAGCTTCGGCAACTGAGGCCATTAGCTGTAGGTTGTGTGGTACTGTAGGGTTTGGGACTGTAGGGGGGGAACACGTGTGTGATTTTACTTATTGTTTGATGTTCTTGGGAATACATTTCTTTTGAGAATGTGATTTAGATTTTAAATAAATAATTTAATTCAAATATGTTTAAAATATTTAAATTTAAATCGTTTATTAATTATTCTTTTTTTTTATGTTTGTAACTATTTAAGTTGTTATGATAACGAGTCAACGAGAACAATTTTTTATGAGTGATTTCATGTAAAAATTATAGTTTGTTGGGGGTGTGGGGGCAATGCCCCCACGGGTCTGTTTGTCATCAAATATTCGAGCCACCCTCAATATTTCACAAGATCTCCGCCTATGGTACTCTGTTCAATCGGCTATCAAGTGGGTACAACATTTTATTTTAATATTAATAGTGTATAGGTATTATAGCCTATAGGTATGCATAATTTTTTTTAAAACAGAAAACAATATTATACCATTTGATGTTTTGCAGTAGCACACTTGTACTTTTATACCTAGCCATTTTTTTTTTTTTTTTTTGGTTTTCAGTTTTCACTAAATTTTTAACTAAAGATTGTAAAATACTTTAAAATACTGTTTCATTAATCATTATGTTATATGTTTAAATATAATTATCGCCTATAACTTATTTTTCAACTAGGTAAGTAGATACTATGCTTAATAGATACTAATTAAGTTACTTAATAACTTTTTTAATATTTAATCATATAATCTCAATCTCAATGGTAATTTATTATTTTATCCGTCTTAAATCTTGAATTACATCTCAAAAATAAATATGTCTTTTAAAACCTCCTTTTGAGATATGGATAGGCAATAGAATATGCAGTATTGTGGTTACCTGCCTTATCAGACGTGATAAGTGGCAAATGTAAGGGATCTGACTTGTGGAATTGTGGATATCTATTCTTTAGAGCCATCTTTTATTAGAAATTTAAAACTTAACTAAATTAAGACCAAAAGTATGATGTCAAATTAACATAGTATTTTTAAATAACAATTTTTATACAAGAATAAAAATATTATGTCAAAAAAAAATCGAAAACTCTTTTCTACAAGATCTCAAAAATATAAAAAGTAAGTATTTCTATTAAAATCTTTGGTTAATCTATTGAATTTAATATTACAATTACTATTAAAACATTAAACATTTATTTTTATATTTTAAAATATGTTGAATCTATAGATCTTAAGATTAAAAATATTTTTTATTTTTATTTTTTATCATCATTAATTTAAGTTTTTCAATTATGATTTATTCATTGATCAACACTATTTAGTTTTTTTAATAAAACAATCTGGACCATATTTTTTTGAGGAAATGTAGACAATTTTAAAAGTGTGATGAAGGTAATATCAACCATAAACAACCATAAAAGTAACATGCATAGTTAAATAGAATTAAGGATAAGTGCAGTAAAGATGCAAAGAATATTTTGTCATGAACATCGTGCTGATCTTTAGGAATTAGTATGCTGACAATAGCTATTAAAGTAACACTACACTTGTTACTTGCAACAAGTTGCATCGTATAAGTGTAAAACTTGATCTACCAGCCACTATCTAAGGAGATAAAGAAAGTTACTAACATTTAAAAGGAAAATTTTCCCTAAAATACTTAGCTCTCCACAAATTCTAAATGTAAAATATGGGAGAAGGAAAAATAATGATTTAGAAAAATAATTTTACAGCAACCTAACTTTAAAATGCATATACAATCTAAATATATTTTAGTGGGCGGTACTGTAATAGTGTCTTTTTACTTTATAGATTTTTAGTTTTACCAGACTACCCCTACCCTCCCCTCCTCCAAAAAAAAACCCCCACAGTACTCCTATGGATATACCAACCATCAGTACCTGGTTAGAATAATAAAGAATTCAAAATAAGTGGCTGGATGTATTAAAAATGGCAAAAATTCATAACTTATGCCGGGTGAAAAATCTTGGTACCTAGTACAGAAAATATTAATTACTATTTCAACATAGTTAATGGGAGTACAAGTACTTATACATTTTATTATCTATAAATAATTATTCCATACTTGGGTTTTCCGTCTATATTACCAATCATAAATGATGATATTATTTTAAATTTCTTTTACTTATAATTTTTATTTTCAGGAGCATAGAAGAATGTACAAATATCATAGCCACTTCTCCGTTTTGGATACACTTTTCAGAAACTATTAAAGTAGAATTAAATGGATCTAATCCATCATCAATCCTGTGTTATGGATTAGGAAATTTTTTTGAGAGCATACAATCTAAATACCAGTTAGGTTTACTTTTAACAATTAAAAATGAATTTAAAGTGAAAAATTGTTATGTTTATGATCCCAAATTCACGGATGCTGAACGTTCCCATTTAGCTGAGATGGGATGTGTTTCACTCTGTGAAAATGAAGAAGGAAAGCGGAGTTTGTTACCCGGTACGTTTGTGTACATGCCTCATTGCCCGAAACAGCTACTAAATAATTTATTATGGGCAAATTGGAACAAGGAGATACTAACAAGTTGTTTAATTGTTTGCAATAGCATTGATCAAACAGTGACCTCAACTTTAGACCGAATATTAGATAAGTATGCTTACTATGTAAAAAAAATATCTCCACACGTCATAGAAAAAAAATGTTGTGATGATTTTATTTATGATGATGTATTCAACGATATGGCACTTCATATATTTCCTGATGAAAAATTAAAAGAACTAGAAAATAATTTTTGGGAACATGGTAAAGAACCATTATATGATACTGATGAGCTAGAATTTATAACAAAATTTGAGTGTATGTCTTTCCAATCTTAATATAGAATTATGATAAGTTAAAATAACAATTTGGCTGTATTTTTATAGTTCATTATAAATTATTATTTTTTTGTATACATATTTTGCTAATATTGGGTACTTCCCACTTGATGGTATATTTCTGACTCACATTTTTTTCTTCTGATTGTATACCAATTATATGACTACAAATTCAACTTCAACACTAATATTCAGTGAATAGTTGAGAGCTGTGTCCTATGAGTATAATAAATAAAATTTACTTAAGTTCTTAAAGAAAATAATTCAAAAATTAGGAAATAGACTTCATCCCAATTTATTCACACTAAAATATAAAAATCAAATAATACACACTAGTTGTAAATTTGTATTGGTATTATCACTTTTTTTTTTTTTAAGAAACTGTTGTGATGCTACCTTTTTTTGTTCTTACTTTTAATTTTAGAACAAATTAACCTTTTATAAAATTTCAAGTTAAGAAGATTACCTGTGTCGCTATGTTGGCTTTTTCCAATCTTTTAATTTTGATGTGCTTTATATTTTTAGATTCTAATAATTTACACGTTCTGTTAAATGTAAAATTGCTATGTTGCTATATGTAGGCCAGAGAGAGAAAACAAATGATGCACTGACATCTTAAATAATTTTGTTTTAACTGGTAGGTTGTTTTTAAATTAAAAAAATTATACCAAACTTTGTCTTTTATTTAAAGCTGATATTAATCTAGAATTCACAATATTTAATGATATATTTAATTCAATTTTACTGTATTAATCCTGTTATAAACAGTTAAATTCTTTAACCCTCTCAAATATTAGTTTGAACATATTACATAATACATTTCAGTTACAACATTTTATTTTACATTTCCTTAAAATATAATTCATATGTTATGTAAAAAATAATAATTATTCATATTCTTTTTTAATGAACTTGGCGATAGTGCTTAGTTGCATATTTGTTGTTCCTTCATATATAGGCCCAACCTTACAGTCTCTATAAAATTTTTCCTGTGGGTAATCCGTAGTAAAACCAACTCCGCCCATCCAGTCAATGCATACGGATGTAACTTTACCAGCAACTTCTACAAATGTACAACATTAACTTATGTTAAAAATTATGTGAGAATTGAGTATCAAAAATTAATTTTTTAAATGTTAATTGATTTAGTTTGATAGTAAACATATTCATTATTTCTGGCAATCGGTAAGTTACATAAATAACATAGAAGTATTTTTTTCTTTGAAATTTTACCTGAAGCGTAATATTTAGCCATTGCTGCTTCTTTAATAAATGGTAAACCAGCATCTACTAATCTTGCAGTATTGTACACTATTAGCCTAGCAGTTTCAACTTCAGTTACTGCTCGAGCAATTTGATGTTGCATAGACTATAAGTTATGATAAGTTTGTATTATACTGTAAATAATGTAATATAATATAAATCAAATACCTATGTTTAAACTTACTTGAAAATCAAATATACTAGAACCAAATTGTTTTCTTTCCAATGTATATGGTATTGTGTGGTCTAAACACCCTTGTGCTATTCCCACCATTTGTGCTCCAATTCCTATCCTTCCTTCATTCAGGAAAGTTATTGCTATTTTATAACCTTCACCAATTTCCCCGACAATATTATCTTTATGTACCTACATAAACATAAATTTGGTTTATAATTTAATCATTTATTTAAAATTAGCTTGGTAATGGTATATAATTTGTAACTGTATTTTTATACTTTGACATTATCGAAATGAAGGACACATGTGCCAGATGCTCTCATGCCTAGCTTATCTTCTTTCTTAGCCACTGAAAATCCTTCTTGTTCTCGTTCCACAATAAAGCATGTAACACCTTTATGACCCTAAAATAATATTAATATAGTTATTTCAACTGCAGAATATTCTAGTGAACTTTCCAATTGGAATTTAAAGTAGGTACTTTCTGAAAAAGTTACATAGATAATACTATAATAGTTCAAATAGTTGGCAAATACGTTGAAGTACTTCCCCCCTACCTTTATATAGATATATTATATATTAACTATAAAGTAGAAATTTTTAACCTTGGAAGGATCAGTGTTGGCAAAAACATAAAAAACTCCGGCTATATCAGAATTTGAAATCCACATCTTTGTTCCATTTATATAGTAGTGGTCTCCATCTTTTTTTGCCGTGGTTTTTAAAGCAAACGCATCTGATCCTGATGAAGGTTCCGATAAACAAAAACTGCTGACCTATAAAAAAAAAATGTTTTTTATAATAACCTATTTGTTTTATTATTAAATATTATCCTTTAATGTAGGGTGTTAGTATTTTATGAATTTTCCTCCAGGCAGCAAAATAAATTGTTAAAAAATTATAATAATTTCAATATCTGGGCACTGCAATGGTTTGTGATCAGTGATCACTGACCATATTATACATTCCTTTTTTTACCAAAACTATTACAAATACTTTTTTTTTACTTATTACTATTAGTGGCGTATACAGGGAAGTTTGGTATTTAGATTGTACCCCCATCCCAAAAATAAAAGATGTGTGTATAGAATTATAATGTTTAATTATACTGTAGGATTTCTATGTTCTTGTTGCCTATTTTCCAAATGTTAAAAAGAATTTAATTCTGCTAAACAATAAGTTTTAGATGGCATACGTCAGGGAAGCTTTAAAATTTAAATTAATAAAAACAAAAAAAAATCCATTCATAACATTTATTATATAGTATTTGTCGTTTAATTTCAGAGGATATGAAAAAATATTACCAACTTAACGTTGTTAGGTGGCACTTTATGCACATATGAGTGTATGATATAACTACCTCATTGTGAGGTCCACATACCACATGTAGTCTATATTTTACAATGTTCAATGTACTACGGCACTACGCTCTAACCTATTAAATTGATAGGTAGGACAGCAGCTGCTGCAGACGAGTTAATATAAATATATAATATAATATTTTAAAGGTTATTAATTATTATATATTTTTTGGACATGGAGTATAGACGGAAATCATAAAGTAGGAAGATAATAAGTTTCGACTTAATCTTACTATAATAATTTGTTTGATAACAATGGGTCAAAAATCAGTATAATAATAGCATAGAATAGTTAATAATCCGGGTATATAGTATATTATACGACCACAATAAATTATCCTGGTGTTCATTAGTAAAACGAATAATCAACTGCTCTAATTATTATACACTTTTCCTATATTACAAATATTACAATAATTGCCAATTAAATTTAAAGAATATTACCTGCGGGCTACGATAATAAAAACGATCTTGACTGTTGTTGTGGCCTTGATCAATGTTTAAACATAAGTACCTTTACCTAATATGAATTATATTATGTATATAATCTATAACTACTCTGTATTATATGAGGCTGAGATATAGGGTAGGTACCTACTTTCACAGATACCTAGTTATTAGTTATTACTTTATAGTTTATGTAAGTAGATACCTACCTACCTACCTACCTACCTACCTGCTAAATTTAGTTAAATGTAAATTGGCTATTGAATTCTGTCTATAACAAATTAACTAATGCCTTCAACATTTCGGTAAATATTTAGTTAAGATAGTGTACAATAGGTACAGGGGTAGCTGTACATTCTACCCCTCCCGTTGGCACGACTTTGAGTAGGTAGGTATATCATATAAAATATAAATACCTAATAAACATTAATTAAACTTGATATTCTAGGAAGATAGAAAATATTTACAGGTATTATATAATCACAAAAGACATTTTGTATGACTAGAAACTAAAAGTTATAAAATATAAATTAGGAATTAGGATATACCTACCTAGTCCTCTCAGGTTATAGGTAGGTACCTAATTTAATCGTCGAGTAAATAGGTATTCATATTTTCAGTGGTGTAGCGTTGGGGTTTAGGTGTTAACCCCCCCCCCCCCTACTGTGCCATCCTACCCTAATAATACATTTGTATTATTTAATATTTATGTACGAAAACTGTGAAACAATTGGTTTAATTGATACTACCAACTACCCCTACCTTCATGATCCAGGCCACGCGCCTATGCTACAACGTATTTTAATAAATTACTTACTTATTACAATTCTGAATTCATAACGATATTATATACCATGTTAAATGATTGATTGTACGACATGGTATCAAGTAATATAAGATATTACCTACCTACCGTTATTAGTTATTTACTAGTTTGGTACTTCAAGTTAAATTAAGTTTTGTTATAATATACAATCTATATTTTAGGTTAGGTAGGAGTACCCCTTAAGTACTTATTAGTTTGTGATTATAGGTGTCCTTTTTATTTCATAATTTTATTCAGTTAACGTTAACCCTATTAAAATAAAAAATTAAGCTATATACGTACAGTGTCTTGTGCCAACCGAGGTAAATACTTTTCTTTTTGTTCTTTATTGCCCATTTTTGACATAAGATTATTTCCTAGAGTATTCTGTAAATCAACTAATACTGAAACTGAGGGATCAACTTTGGCTATTTCTTCCACTGTTAAAGTGCTGGACATAAATGACGATCCAGATCCACCATATTCTGGATCTACTTCAATACCCATAAACTGTAACATTTTACAGACAAATTAGGTAGGTACATAATTATTATAATACACGAATATTTATTATTGATAATTTAATTATTATGATCAGTATAAGTTTTTAGAAAAATACTATTGGTAGAATATATTTACGCCATTTTCAAATAATTTTTTCACAAGTTCATCGTCAATTTTATGTTCTTTATCCATTTTCTTTATTAGTGGTGCAATTTGATCTTGAGAAAATTTCCTAACTGCAATCAAATAAAAACAGTTTAGGTATAAACCTAGTGTTTATATAGCTAAATTTGATTCTATTTAAATTCTAGTTATTAAATCGTATAAATACATTTGTACCAATACAGTATATATATTATAACTCTAAAATATAGCATGTAATATTAGGTACTTAGGTATATTTAGTGGCAGCCTGGGCACACATTACTTGGTCAGCTAAATAAAAAAGGGTCCTTCCACGTAGGTACAATTAAGAAGACACGGAGACCTAGAATAGCTAGAACATATTTTTCCATAAATTAGAAGGGGGAGCCCGTCGGCGATCGTCGTCTCAACCTCACCAGGCTGCCACTGCGAATACTGCCATTAAAATAAATGCTATATGACATTTATTGTTTATATATATATATATTGCAGACTGCATAGGCACCTACTTATATAACTATATAATAATTTATGTAAACATAGTTGATAGGTAGATAATAGATATATTTTATATTTAATTGTAAATATATCTAATATACAATTTTTTATTTTTATGAATTTTA